CGTTTTAGCGTAGGAACTACGTTAAGAACAGCTTGGCAGTATGGCAACTTGGTTTTCTCTGCCATTGTAACCATCTGATCCTTCCCAATAACAGTAGCTAGCTCCTCCCTCATTTTCTCCTGTAATCATTCAGCACATTATGAAGACTACCCAGGCTGCCAAACTTGAACATCTGGATTGTTTGCTAAATAGATAAGAGCCCATTGTATCGTAGTAAAAGTTGTATCAAATCCAGCAAACCATAAATCGAAACAAACGTTGACTAATTGACGATTACTGCAATAATTTATAAGGTAAGAAAACAATTTCGATTGATGAACCTGAATGACTCAAAATCCTCCTCTAGTTCCCGCTTTCTCTGTTCCTTTAAGTATGCTTCCACATAACTCCTGACTTCGTCGGATTCATAGTCAATCTATAAATGCAATTATTTTAAACACTTCTGTTTTGGAAACCTCTTTTCTGTATTGATCGATTTGGCCTAGGGTAAAATTGGAGAAAAAGTCGAATGTTTTCAGTAATCTATAACACAATTGAATCAGATTGGTTCATATTATCTATATTATCCTGTACTTGTCAGAGAGATTTTTGAACCATGGGAGGTTCATGAGAACAGGGAAAATGCTAACAAGTAAAGCGAAAAAGCCAGACTGTGCTTTTTTTAGATCATCCAGTGTTGACATAATTTTTTCGAGTTCATCGGTTTTGTCCTTAAAAGTATGATGAGGATAGCTATGATGTTAACCTAACTTCAGAGAAACGATATCCGAAAAGAAATAGATTGATTGTTGAAGCGATAGCTTTCCGTAAATGTTTCTGAAAAAACAAATAACGGTGAGAGATGAGAGAATAAGTAAACTTTGATATCCATGAGCTCACCACGCGAAGCTCCTATACTTTTCAATAAAACTTCGGTCTCAAACAAAATATGTTGCTCGGCAATATTACCACCAACACCCAAATCTCTGAGAACATGAAGCGCAAACCGGCGATGGATTCTCCACTTGTCTCCGTTAGTATCAATTATACCATAAGAGCCACCTGTAACAACCGCAATTTATCCACCGAAACTAAAGTTTTATACCTCTCATAATCACACCTAGACTTCCTAGACAAGCTCTTTCCGAGAAATGTTCCGAATCTTTAACAAATAAGTCTTTCATGAGATTATAGTCACACACCATAACCATGGGCTGGTTACCTATAGCAAATCTTCTAAGAAAAATCAGTTCAAATGACATACCAAACCAAAAAGTGAATATAGGGCCATACTCTTTTCTCAAAACTTCAAATGCTTCATGGCCAGGTTGATATTTTTGAAGAATTGGTAAATTTCCTAAGAATGGCAATGGCGTAGGGCCTAGAAAGAACGAAACAGTTTCTTTCAAAATGAAATGCCAAACCTGGAGGTAAGTTCCTTCTTTTCCAGTATAACTCGTAAACTAACCATACACATATGAGAGTAACAGCAAAGAGCAGCACCATCTCCAGCAAAATGAACACTGAGATATATTCTTAGCCGCCACTCCTATCCTATTGTTATTCATGAGTCAATGATTGTACACAACTCGGCACATCACGGAACAAATTTTTGTTCTGTTTTGTAGTCGAACGATAAAAGTTCAATATTCATTCAAAAAATCAGAAAAACATTAAATGTGTGCTAAAATGAGGTTCACATGAACCAGATAGCAATTTATCCTATTCACCGAGTATTTTGAAGCCTATAATATTAGCATTTCTCCTTTAGCATCGATAGAAGTTTCTCCATTATTATTAATTTTTACATAGTTGCTTTTCATAAAGATTGCCACGTGAGATCATTCGTTTATACATAATTTAAACCAGATGTTTATGTTAGTGACTATAATTGAGAGTAGTATAGGCTTGCTCAACGAAAAGTATATACCTGGAAGCATGTTAAACAGCATTCGCCAACCATATCCGTCACACCGCCATGCATATCGCCTTGAAGAACATATATTAGATAATTATTCACAGTATCTGATCGAACCTATCAACGTATCAGCTTCTTCTGCTGCACTTTTCATAACAACATTATACCTTCTACGCTTTAAGTATGTTGAAATAACCTAAGTTCAAGATGTTGATAAGAGCTCATGAAAGGTTCAAACCTGCACAAGAAGAACTATTCCTAGTGCACTCAGAACACGACCTCCAAAGTTTAGCAAACCAATCAAATATTTTGATGGTGCTTCGGCAAGAGCTGGAAAAAAGAATTAAGTCACTCTTTGTTGCAAAGGTATGCCGTTCAACCGGTTGAGCGAGCTACTAATTCAAAAATGATTGACGCTTGTTGCGTGCCATTCGTTCAGAACAGCATTAACATATTCAAACCGATCTTTTAACTGCTTTTTTTGTTTACTCACTTCTTTTTAATTTAAAACGGAATGTATGTTCATTCTCTACAGCAGTTCTAACTACTTCTTGCTGTAATTGCGCTGCCCACACACTAGATAGGTAAGCTAGGACGTTTAACAATGTTCCCAATATTAGAAAAAACACAATTCCACAACATTGGTTCTCTAGAAAATAATTAATGCAAGCAAGTATTCTATTTAATGTATTCAAAATTGTCATATGACTTCAAGCAACATACTCCGAAATTTCTCTCTTTTTTCTCGCAATTTGTCTCGTATATGTAGGCCTGTGATAGAAGTGCTCTTTTTGACACCTCCACCTGCGCTGGCAGGTACGATGAGCCTAGACCCAGTGGGCTCCAGCTGAAAAGAAAGAAAAGATTATTTTCACAGAATAGCTTACGGTGATTGTTTTCGCTTCATGTGGATCTCGTGTTAATCTTTCCAACTCATCAGTCATATTTTATGATAATATTTACTTCATGAGGAAGGCTAGAAGAATATGTTGAAAGCTGGAATTCAGTTAGTTTTACATACGATGCATAAATATATATATGAGAAAAAGTGGGAGTTGAGAAACTTGAGAACAATCCCTCTGGGATATGCTTCACAGAAACTTTTTCGAAGAATGAAACATAGTGGATGATGAAAGCTCTTCGGGTTCATTTCCTCACTTTCATCTCACTACGCCCAAAACGCTTGAGAAAGTGATCAAAAGGCTTGCTTGTATCGGAAGAAAGATATCGAATTAAGCATATCATTTGTACTTCAGTATGAAGTAAGAGGTAGCTTCTTCGGAATCAGAAGCTTAAAACAAGACTTTGAAAGAAGAAAATGGCTGAATCAAGTCTAGATAAAGCAGTTTATGGGAATACCCAGCACACTATTGATTTTGCCTTAGGCGGAGCAAGCAAGTCCTTTGCTCCAACAGCTTTGAAAACAACTGCCATTGGCTGACTTCGTAATTCAATCCATCATCATTTCAAGAACTCGAAAAAGAAGTAGAAAAGGTTTATTTTTCTGAAAATCATGCAAATCGTTTAGGAATAAACCCGCGAAAAGTAACACAATAATTACTAAAATATTGAAAACATTTCAAATAGCTTGAATGGCCAAGACACGTAGAGTTGGATTATGAAAAAATAAAAAAGGCTGAGAATTAGCTCCATGAAACCTTTAGTTAGTTACAAGCAGGCCTTGAATGTCCGTCAGGAATACTTCCATTCGCTTTCTGAACTCAATCCTAAAAATTGAGCTTTGGATTAATTTGAAAATTTAAAAAATCGTACTTCGAACGACGAGCTACGAAATCAACATCTGCAGGTAGAAGTTTGCTGAAAGCTTCACTCAATTGAGTAACTGCTGCTTCATTCTTCTTGGAAGACAGTAAGTTTCTCACGAAAGCTTCATAATAAGGCTACAAATGATAAAATGAAACATGGTATTTTAAAAAATCAAACTCTGTTGATACTGATAAGTCCGAAGAGAGCGTTAGCTGCATCAGTGAACAAAGCTGTCTCTCCACTGAACTCTAGGCAAAGTTCGAAAACAGTCTTTAAAAAAAAAATAGTAAGAGTAGTGTAACTATCCGTACCGGTAGTAAATTGTTCACTGATTCCTTGAAATTTAAAGGTAGTGCCGATTCGTGATCTGTACAGATAAATTGAGACAGAGCAAAAATTCCTTCCATAGATAGAGAAGTGACTTCGTGACCGTAATTACTTGTGAGCCCAGTCTAAACAGAGAATCATTACAAATGTAGGAAAAGCCAACATACCTTCAAAATGTTATAAATAGCCATCAAAAAATATTCAGAAGAGCCTTTCAGAGCCTCAGGGTTAAACTGAACCAAATAGCAGATATAGCGGAAAAACTTTTGTGCTAAGTCGGGTATCATGAGCATTTGATCATTCATAGTGTTAAGTAAAACTTCCAAAGTCATAATGGATACTTTACAACCAATAGAGTCATTTTCCATTAAGAGATCCTTTGAGATTACATTCATTAGTATATCAAGGAAAACGATCTGGATTTAAAAAAGTTAGAAATGCTTAAAATAACTTTCTTGATACCAAATCGTTCGCTTGGTCATCTTCGGCATTTTTCAAGTCAGCAAACCTATGAAGCTGCCCTTGGCAATAGGCTTGCGTGATTTCAAAAAGGGACTCGTATAGTACAGCTTCTTCTTCCTGTAGTGAATAACGTAGAAGCGTCTGATACTAACACTCACTTTATCATCAACATATATAGATACACGAATGGTAGTATCTAGTAACAGTTGAAGAATTGCTGAGATCAATGGTGCGCAATGAGATCGTGAAGTCATAAGAGGGACACATTGTTTCAACAGCGGATGAAGAATTTCTTGAAATACATCTGTTTTGGAGTTGAATAAAAACTTTTTCAAGATTCTATTGAACTGAAGCAAAAAAATCGAAAAGTATCCTAAACTCACTTGCTAAGATCTGTCCTGACTCGTGGTCACCTCCGAGAGCGACACCATCAAAGCACTGTATTATATCAGTTAGTAAACTGTCACCTTCTGTTGAAGAAGGTTGACTTGTCAGATACTTCATTCTTTCGACTAGGGGTTGTAGGATCTGGACGTAAAACTTGAGTGAAACACAATGAAATCAAGTTCTTACTAAATCATACATAGACTGCTGCAGCTCTGAATCTTTCGCTCCGGCAGCAATTTGAACTAGAGCTTTTATAAGGATAGTTCGGCTTGATAAAGAGGCAATATCAATGTTTGACATATGTTTGAATAGAGCTGGCTCTGCGGCCAGAGCATTCGCTCTAGACTCTATTAAAGAACATAAGAATGCTACTGCTTCCTTACAAACTCTGAAGAAAACAAAGATTTAAAGCAAGAGAAAGACCCTTACGCTTCTTCTCCTCGATATTTCTTTAGAACAATAAATGCCATATCTAAACAGAACCTCACCAATACTTCATTGAAAGGCCCGAAACTGTGAATGAAAGGGCAGCACAGAGGATCGATGTCCTGAAAGAGAATTAAGAGTGAAATGTCTAAAGACCGTCGTATTACCACAGTGACCTCTGGAATTCTGCTGATTACGTTTATGTATCTTCGAGTACACATAAGTGTACTTCTTATAACTTCTGGAGATAAAACATGATCCGTACCATCCGACAGTAAAAGTTGATACTGGATGCTCGCCCAGCCCAAAATCTCACCAATGAACCTGAGAAATCCACTTTTATTGATAAACCTTATCGAACCCACATCATGAAAGGATCAATTTGTCTCATATCGTACGGACGTTCTGCTAATGGTTGTTCCACGCAGAGGCATAAGTATTTTTGTTTGACTTCTTCACTGGAACAAAAACTTTTTTCCCACAAAACTAGGTTGCTTTAACTTACTCGAATTTTATCTCATGCCGTCTTGCGTATTCACTTACATAATCATAAACTTCACAAGGTAGGGAACAAGTACCGTCTGACTCCTCAATCACCAGAGAGTTTCCGAGCACAAGCATAAACCAATGCATGTCATCATGCCACTGAGTGATTCTGGCAGTGTTGGATGGATCTTGCATGACAGTTTGTAGCTCTTGAACACGTCCGCGGAAGCTTCTGAATACAAACTAAAGTAGGAAGCTTGATTTGATTTTACTCACGGAATGATAACTTCTAGAAAGCTTTCAATGGTATATTGAGCCATAAATCCTAAGGGCGAAAGAAGACCTTCATAAAGCTAAAATCGAAATGAAGTTATTGTATTTCTCATTTTGTAACTTATACCGTACGATCGTCGTTATCCTCATCATGTTCTTCGTCTTTTGGAGTGGCTCTGTTACCAAGTGGTGCAGATTGAGTGCACTGCAGGAAGGTTTGTACAACATCGAAGGTTGGATTCAAAAAGTAAGCATTTTCTAAACAAAAAAACTTGGCGTTATTAAACGGGAATGACAATCGAACCAATATGTTCTTGTTCTGCTGGAGATAGAGAATTTCGCCACCTGCCTCGCAATAGTGTCACCCAAGAATCGTACAGAAGACAAAGAGAATCTTTGTCTTCATGCTCACAGTTTCCCTAAAGGCATGCTCATACTCGGACTATAACCAGAGAGTAAACTTACAATAGATTTATGTAAAGCTTCTCTAGTTAAATGGATAACATACTTATTCACATAAGTGAAAAAACGAGTTCTGAGATCACCGGAATCACCCACAACTGGCAAACGCATGATAAAATGGATAGGACGATAATAAATAATTCGTTGAATAATATTACAGAAACCGTGAATTTCGTGAGGTGATGGCCCTGGAAATATTATGAGAGACTTGATCAAGATTATCCTTCAATTGTAGCTCAAGAGAAGAATTAAGCAAACTAACCATCAGGAAAAACTTCGAGGAAACAAAGAACAAAGTCGTTCACATAGCTTTGTGCGAACACATCTCCTCTTTCTTTTTCGTTCATAACATCACCAGATAGTCCTGCTAATTGTGCAAGACAACTCAGAGAACGTGCACTTAAAGTAACATCCGTTCTAATCAAGGAATGTAACTAAATGAAATTGATAAGGGAATATGTCCGTACCGATACCTTGAAAAACAGTTTCAAAAACTCGGCGTTTTTGATAAGGTCCCCCCAGCTGCCTGGTGGACGGAATGCAGTGGTTGACTGTGTTTGTGAGAACAGTCTGCGGAAAAATTTGGCCGAGAAATTCCATGAGAAAATATTTTCTGCCACCTATTTGAACAGATACTATGAAAGAAAAACGCAGCTGGAGATACCTCAAGAAACTTGTCGCACCAGCGATAAGCAAGAGCATTCTGCAGAATTTCGACAGAACTGCAGAGGGTATGAATGGTTTCTAGAGATATTTCCAGGAGAAAGCGAAGGCCTGTCTTCTAAAATTGAGCAGGACAAATGACGAAATCTAAAAGATTGATGAAACCTCAAACTCTGTCTTGGCTTTAATATGGAAATCCCATGTGATGGAAAACTCCGAGTTTCTCCAGTTGCTGGAAAACTGCTCAGTAAGCGCAGATACGAACTCACACCCGATCGATTGCTGGAACATACGCATTCACACATATTCCACCGGAATCCAACTCACTAATCTTGGACATTCATTGGCTAACAAGCTTCTGATCACTTCCAAAAGTTTTTCTTGAGTTCCAGCTTTCTTATCCAAACAACCACGCTTCATTATCATAGCCACAGATCGAAGTATAGCAGATGTCACAAATGTAGGTAAATCCTTATTGTTTACAACATATTCCAGGAGATATTGATTGACAGATTCAATCTAAATCGAGCATGATGAGTTCAGTTTGTCAAAACCATGACACCTGCTCAGAGGTTAACAAAGGCCATTGCTTTAATACATGTTCACCGGCAAACTTTGATATTTGGAATAACACAAATTGATTCTTTGTAGAAGCTGTAAACAGATTTGATGAAGTTGGTTCATTACCCCTATCTTACAAAAAATGTGAGTAACTAGGTCAAGAGTTAAAGCGTTTTGAAGCTCATGAAAAACAAGTTCCGCGTTTTTGCGATCATCATTGGAAGCATTAGGGTCACCCTGAATATAGGAAATGGGACTGTTAGAACTACAACTACAACTTACCAAGATGGTATTAGCTGCATTCTCTATTACAGTTATATCCATTTCTCTATTAGTACATTCCTAAAGATAGTTTTTTTCTAATGACTAAGTTCTGCTGGATAGAGCTTAAGATAAAATCATTTGGAGCAACCACAAAGAACTCATATAACAATTATTTACTCTCTTTACTAAATAAGAAAACTACGAAACAATGTTAAAGACGAACTAAACGAACAGCACTTGACTTCGTGCTCAATCATCGTCTAAACACAGGCAGCTCCGGAGATAATTTCAATCAATTCACGTGTGATCACAGCTTGACGTGTTCGGTTGAAAGCAAGAGTAAGCTTGTCAATCATCTCACCTGCAAACATTCATTCAGAATTAACATAATCAATGAGTAAGATTAAAGCATAATTATAAAACATACCAGCGTTCTTAGAAGCTCCATCCATAGCAGTCATACGAGAACTTTGCTCAGAAGCAGCAGCTTCCTTCATGGCGTAATAAATAAGCTGAGCAAGAGCGTACTCGTTGTAGCATTGAAGAACATCATCGTCTACGGAATCGTAAGTGTTAAGGGCTTCCTTAGCCTTGATAGCCTTGAAACCAAGAAATAAAAAAAAATACTAAAAAAAAACAAAGACCTCCAAAGGAAGAATAGGGATCTTGGATGTTTCGTAAGAAACCACAGACTTGAATCTGTTGAAAATGATGTGACCCTAGAATTTCAATAAGAATTAAGAGCATATCGATGAAGTAAACAACCTCTTCAAATTCGAAACCACTGTCGAGGATGGCTTTAGCGGCAATGGAAGCATCAGCGAAGCTTGGAGGTTGACGTCCGATTTCATTTCCGGTCAATAAGAATTTCTAAAACAAAATATCAATGAACGAAAAAAAAACAATGACTTACATCAGCATAGATTCTCTGTAATCCAGCACGGGACTTATCTCCAATACAAGCAACTTTGATATCCTTTCCTTCGTTTTGACTGATGATCGACTTAGCCTCCTATACAATAGCTTGAGAATGTATGAGAACAATTCAAAAATACCTTTACAATAGCAGAGTGGACTCCACCACAGAGACCTCTGTCAGAGGTAATGAGTACCAAAAGTTGCTTCTGTTTCTCATCCTTGGTTTCACCCTCGACAGCAGGATTGATGTTATCGAAGAAAGCTTTAGCTCCAACACCATAAGCACGAGCTCCCTAAAAAAGTATTACATAAGGTCTTCAATACAAATGTCGCAACCTTAAGATCTCTCTCAGCTCTAGCGTATTTAGCAGCGGCAACCATCTTCATGGACTTGGTAATCTTCTGAATGTTCTTAACAGACTTCAGACGAATAGAGATGTCCTGAATAGGGAATGAATACTGGTGATCTTAACAATCATTTCAAACCTTCAAAGTGGCGAAGCCTCTCTCCTGTTGGAGAGCAGAAGATACAACAAGCCGAACAGTACCTGCGGTCTGGCCAAGCATGATTGCCTTAAATGAAATCAAAAATGAAATGAAACTTCTCCTGAAGAAACAAAATTCATTGCTAAGAAAAGAATGGCTATATAGGAAACAGGGCCTATCTTAGATAAGCTACATTTTTAAATTCAGAATTATTGAAAAACAAGAATATTTAACAGTTAACACTTAATTTATCCCTTTAAACTGTTATTTTTCTTATAATGATGTCTTTAGACCGCCCAAGTTCAAGGTACTGTTGCGTTCGTCGCGGGACCTTTTTAAAGTCTTAGCAAAAATATAGTTGAATGGAAATCCCTATCCGTATGAAGCCACTATTAAAGTATCCTTTAATTTTATATATTAACGTTTCTCAATGAAAGCACTGCCTTTTGAGTGTTGAATATACATAAGTGATTTTACAGTAGAGCAGGAAAAACATTTTGAACATCTTTCTACGTTTCATTTTCAAGTATGAACGAATAGCGTTTGCTCGTTTCATCGAAAACTGTTACGCATTGTGACTACAGACTTTATTTGAATTTATGAAGCATGTTCGAAAATTAGTTTTATTATATTATTCAGAAAAAAAATGACCGATGATACTCATGTGTCTTCCGATGAGGAAGCTGAAGTACAGGAAAATGCGGCAGAGATTGCTGCTCAAGTAAGAAAGCGGAGGCTGCTCGAAATGAAGTCGAAATACCACGGAATGGAAATGAAGTTCTGTAGAGTGTTTTTCAAAATATGTTTTCGTGTTTTTCAGAGAGGAAGATTATGCTGAGGATGAGAAACCTACAAAGAAAAGTAAAGGAGTTGATTCAGGTTTCAGGTTGTTTTTGGAATTGCTTTTTTTTTATTAAAGAAAAAGTTTAGAAGTTACCAACCAGCAGCAGAAGTTCTGGGTGAAGTGAAGAATGAAGTTTCTTTGACCGCAGTGGAAAATGAAATAGTAGATCATCTAAAAGTGAGGTTCTTAACTTGTATTCACGTATGACTGTTTGATTCCCAGGATACTCTGACAGTTAAAACAGTTGATAGTGTTGATATTAGCAACTTGGCTCCAAAGAAAATTGATTGGGATTTGAAGCGTGATATCAGTAAAAAACTTGAGGTAATAAATTTTTATTCTTTCGCATAACTACATATGATAACTTCAGAAGTTAGAAGGAAGAACTCAGCGGGCAATTGCTGATCTGATTAGAGAACGTTTGGCTGATGGAAAAGGTGATCTCGTTAGTACTGTTAATGCTGGAGTATAAAATAACTAATTGTGAGGTTTTTTAATTGTTTATAACCGTTAAATGAACTTATGTACAAATGATTGATGCTTTCTATGCTTTGTTTGTCACCTTGTTAAATAAGAATTGTTCACTGTCTATGTCTTCTCGTGATAATTCGTGAAATGGAATTCGTAGTTCTGTCGACCGCCGGATTTGCGAGTCTTTGGAAGATAGTGAACTATCGTTGCTAGTGACATCGTTAACTGGAACAGTTTCGAATAGATAGATTAAAAAGAGGCTTAGTACTCTGTTTATCTCTCCTAACATCTATGGCTAAAGGTGTTACTACATTTAACGGATCTGCTGTGGCGCCGTTTTTTGTCTGAAAAGCATGTTTTTTATACAGAAGGAGTTTGTTTTGCGAAGACCGGCATAGCTGTTGCATATAACGTTATGAAATGCCCATCTTCTATCAATTTGCACATCAAGTCTCCTGCAAAGTGAGCGCGAAGAGCGAAGTCATCCAAAGCTACGATAGTTTCGAAAGGTGTGCTGAATCTGCAAAAGAAGAGCTGAACTTCTCACACAGGATATTCAACCGCGTTGTCTACTGTTGCCCAAACAAATGGCATTTACCAATGACGGGATTTTCACGTAAATAAGATGGCTTACACTTCCTGAGCATCTTCTTGAAGCCGATTTGATACTTTTTGAATACTGCAGTCGTTGAACCGTTTTGAGTTTTTGAGTTTCCTATAACTCTTTCTCACTAATGTTTCCAAATATCTATTGCAGCACATGAAACCTGGAAAGAAATTTATTGATTGACAAGTTAAACTTGTGTTTCACCGTCTATGTTCATATAACAATGACTAAATGGGTAAGGAGGAGGCGTTTTCGTGTTCTCAATTATGTCATTTGAAACGTCTAAACTATTCATTCCTGAAGAATTTCATTAATAGAAGTAGTAATTCATCAAACTAACTATCCACTCGGCTATCCTCAAAACGGTTTGAAAAACTATTAATTGAAATTGGAGATATCTGAACAATTTGAACTTTATGATTAAAATTAAATCTTTACTATTTTCGGGGGTGGCATTTCAACTTCTACATCTGTCTTGAGATCAGGCTCATCATTACTTGTCAAAGAAACGACTGTAGTGGTTCCCTCTATCAGAACATCAGAAGATTCCTTAGAAGATGTGTAAGAATATAGGTAAGGAGTCATTACCACTTTGGTTTGTTCGGCAGCATGGACAGTATTGAAAGAGAACATCCTAGGATCAGTACGATGGGAGGGGAACCTTAAAAACGATTATCCATGTCTTCAATGAATCACTCACTTAGCAATAGGTATATTACCATCTTTGAACAGAATACCATCCTTGATTGTGTATTTCAATTGATGAGCTTCAGCTAACTTCTTCTGAATGGCTATTTGTGTTTCAATTATTTTATCAGCGTCAAATTTCTGAACTTTTCTCATTTTTGTGTCCTGAAAGAAAAAAGTAAGAAAACTAGAAGTATATCAGGACAAACTTTGTTCAAAGGGGACATTCTGTGTTTACGATGTTCAAGATCGTCTACTTCATCCTTCGTTTCTTCTATTTTGCGTATGATGATTTTGTGTCTTAGCCTGGCTCTCTCATTTTTAAGAACTTGTTCTAACAGCTGAACTGCTTCCATGTCTACTTCCGCGGGCGCAAATCCTTTAACTCCTTCAGTTACCTACGAGATTATTAGATTGATATGGTTAATGAGAAACAGCTTCACTTGTTTCGCTTTCTTCGCGCTTTTTCTCAATGATTTCCTATTGGACATGTGCGTTAACAACATTTTCCTTTCTCGTTTGCGATTTTTGAACACCAGGCTTGGCGAATCGTATCCGACATTGTTCCTCTCTTCCTCCAACTTGAAATAACAATTGATAAGAAAGGACGCGTATAATCGCTTACTGGACTAATAGTGCTTCGAGGTGGAGCAAAATGATCAATTGAATTTTTGATGGTTGCGTTTGTCCTATAGCTAACACCCTGTAATTCAAAGATTATATAGAAATATAAAAAGTGTTGGATACCTGAGGATTATGACCAGACTTTCGGAAAGAAAATGATGGAACTCCGAATAATTTTTTCATTCTGGGACTTTCTCTAGTGCCATACTTAGAACGGTTATGATAATTCTATAAATATAGGAAGGAATAACTAAAGGAAAGATAAAACCTCTTGTTCCTCCGTACTTGGATAACTACCTCTATATGATGCTTGCGAAAGCCTTTGAATTATTCCTGAAATATAGTGATTGTTTTATGATTTTGGAAGAATTTTAATAGTTTAATAACAGGTAATATTTGAATGACATTGGGGACAATAAAATATTTGAACACGGACTAATTAGGTACATAAGGGAAATGACTCGTTGTAGATTACCTTGTTTCTGTAAAACAACAATTTTATAATTTTTTGTCGTTTAGTCATATACGGTAATAACTATTCAATCCTTTTCAGAACGATTGTTGAACATTTCTCGTTCTCTTTCTTGAGATGTTCCTCTAAAGCTAAACTCTCGTATTTCCCTCTCATGAAACATTTCCGACATTTTTGAATTTGTTCAATTTCATCTCTTCTTCTCAATTCAAAAAGGAAAGTATACATATAGATGATATATGGGATATGGTCAAGTATCTCACTTCAGATTGAGAATTATTGAAGGACATGTTAAAGAAGTTTCCATTCTTTCAAGTACAATATGATCAAAAGTCTTGTCATTTTTAAATTATTTTCAAATATTTTCCGGATGCTCCAGAAATTTTTCTTGCAAATGTACTTTTGGAAGAAAAGTTAATTGACTTGAGGGACATGAACCGGAAAACGCAGACGTAGTGTCATACCTGTCACTCTACATATCCAACCTTTTATAATTACTTAAGTAATCGTCAAAAATGATTAAAAATGGTACAATTTTCTTCTTTCAAAGATTTTGAGAAAGGGAATCTGAGCCTTTTCTTGAAGTTTTCGTGGAAGAATACTGGATAAGATGAGAACAAAATGGAAAAGTGCACATTGAGATGGAGATACCGTCGATGAAGAGGAGGAGGAAATAATCTCCGAACATTTTTTACTGTAAACTAACCTTCATTAATACCGAAAACAACATTAGTTTGGAGAAGTATGATGCAGGAAAATAAGAAAAGCATAGAGATCACCTGGAAAGCACAAAAATGAAACACTGACTATGAAATTATGAATTAAAACATTTAAATTTGACAATTTTATAACTATTCATCCATGTAAGAATGCTGTAGTTGATTGGTTGCGATGCGCAGTTGGGGCGGAGTTTGACCTGTTCATCCTCACACATGGCTGGCAGGAAGAAAGAACTTTGAGAGATTTCATGATTGAATATTTGAAAGTTCTATTATAACTTCTTATAAAGAAACATTTGTTCAAGGAAGCTTTTATTTTCTTTCAAACTTCTGCATGGTCTAAACAAAAACACCTCCTAATGAGATATCTCGTCATTTTAAACGAAATGCCAGCTTCCTCCAAGTTTTTTTAACCGGAAAATGACTTTTATGGAAACATTTCAATGCTTTCAGGAACATTCGAAGTCATACTAATATTAAATCCGTTTTGCAACATAAGTATATTGACAAATAAAAAACTCTATTGTAATATGATGATGAGGCTCTCGACCTCATTCCCTGTAAGCGAAAAATATTTTTTTGTTGAGCAATTCTCGAAGGAAAAAAAAGGTGCATGAATACTATTTCATAGATGAGAAAGTTCATATGGCTTACAAAACAACCTTTTTAATCAAAATATACGTGACCCAAATTCCAAATATGAAATCGGAAAGCAAACATGTGCCAGTTTGGTAGTAAGAATTGGAGGAGTACCAGGAAGGGCATACTCCAAGTTTGTTGTAGGAATAATGAAACAAAATACTCTTGTATTGTCTTCGAAAATATGACTTGGGAGCTTCAAATATGGTGCAGTATTATGCTCATCTATCGAATGTTTGCAGAAGTACAGGTTTCAACCTCAATCTTATGAAGCTTTATACCATCAACGAGGGTTTGTTTTTGAGAGTTTTTCTACAAGCGTTCTCATGGAAACTTTAATGGGCGTAAAGAAATCAAGTTGACTATACGTATAGCATTTTATAATCTGCTTATAGTGCTCTTTCTGTAATCCAAAAAGTTAATGTCATACTAAAAGATTTGGTTCGTATAAAAGACGAAGCAGGATGAGAGGTGTCTAACTTCTGATTTTCTGCGATTGCAATGACGGAATGGTTGGGAGAAAACCAAGTGGTTGCTGTAATCATATTCATCGTAAGTTTATTCATTACTATAGTAAAGAACGATATTTTTTATTCAGATCGCAGGCATTGGCATGTCTTGCAATTGGTTCGTGGTAGCTTTCATTAGCCAAGTTCCTACTCTTCAAAATGCTTTTGGCAGACTCACCACCTCCCAAGCATTATCAGAGGCAGTACACTTGACAATTTTCACATTTTTTGTTGCTCCTATGGTTTTTTTGTAAGAAGTCACCTAAATACTTTTAACTAAAATATAATTTTTACAGTCAGGTCGATGCGATGGAAGATATTTCAAAATACTTCGGTCATGTTTTACTTATATGCTATGATATCTGTATATATTGCCATGTTCTTATCTCTTTGAACAGAATGACAGCAGTAATGCTACCTCTTCAGTACGAGAGAATATTCAGGTTTATCTCAAGCCGTTTACGAATTTTATCGAAAATAATGTTTCAGTATGAGAAACACAAAGAAGATGATCATCGTTGTTTGGGCTCTTGCTATTCTCCCTTCGATATACTTCTATATCATAGGTCTATATCAATGTTTTTGATTCATATCTGAAAAGTATATTTTTACAGAAGACTGCGACTTCTATTATACAGGAGACTATTGGCATTTCGTGTTTAGTTCGACACCTGTCTGTGCCGTCATTGCCTGGTACACAGACTTTTTGAAATATGTCTCCATCGTTATAATGATTGCATTCATTGATATGTTCACACTCGTTCGTGTTCATGCTTTAAATGTTTCTGTAATTTTAATATTTCGAGTTCATTAGAATTACATAAATTTTAAGGTCTTTCGCAACGGCACGTCATCAACTGTACGAAGATGCCGCAAAGCAGATGAACTAAACTTCTTGGAGCAGGTAAAAAACTTCCTCATAACATTTTCTCGAAGCATTGCAATGTGTCTCTAAAAACATATTTCAGACTTGCCTGCAAGGTGCGTTCTTTGTATGCGAATTGTTAACATATTTCGTACTGTACCAATACTTCGAGAGTCGATATATCAAGTTCTTTTTCACTACCTTCGCATGGATCTGTGTTCATTCGGCTGATGGGTAAGCGTTTGCTCCTTGAACATCTGAATCTTCGGTTTTCAGATTCATAACTCTCATATTCAATAAAGACTTTCATCAGATTTGGAAAAAAAGTGGGTGTTTTCGTAGTCATTATAGTTATACTATTG